AACTAGAAAAAGGAATGTCCCAAGATAAATTGCATGATGAAGCTTGAGATGCCTTACTTGTTTAGGTGGTGACACAAAAGCATGTCCCCTTCTCTCTCTCTCTCTCTCTCTCTCTCTCAATCAAGAGAAGAGGTCCCTGAAGATTGCTTATAGAGTGGGCTAGATGCTTCTAGACCTTTGTGATATGGAGAGCTAGGGAAGCCTCAAGGATCAAAAGAAGCCAAGTTGTTGCATGCAAAGTTGCTATCTCGAGTACTTTCAACTCTACATTAGGAATGATTGCTCTTATGTGTGAAAAAGAAAGAAAAAATAACTTTAATATGATTGGTAGCCACTTGTACTATGTCATGGTTCAAACCATAGTTATGTAGGTTAATGGGTTTGATTAGCTTGCTTGATTCACTGAACTTGGCAAATTTTGATGGATTTTTTCTAAAGAGTTTTAATCAACTTAAAATGTTAAATGTTTGATTTTTTAGGAATTGTCTTGAGTTGGTATTTTATTTTACTAAACAAATATTGGTTGTTCTAAAAACATAACTCAAGGTTTTTATTTTCTTTTTTAGTGCATGCTAATTTTAGGTTTTTAATTGAGAACACGAAAATGTCTATATCAAGTTTCTTCATGATCGTGCTAACTAAACAAATAATTATAATCGTATATTTACGTGAGATATTCGATCAATGCTAATGCACTTTTGAGTAAATTTTTTCCGTGTACATGATATCATCAGATGTTTATACACTAAAATTATATTTTTATTTGGTATAAACAATATTTGAATCGAGTTTGTTTAAAATCATTTCAAGTGAAGAGATAATTATAGCGAATCAAGTTTGCGATGGCGATTGAGGTTAACATAAGATGTGATGATGTCTTTGAGATAGAAGCAGGACCCATGACTCCATGACAAAACTAATGCTAATGTCACATTTCTAATTAGAATGAAGGAATCCATTCCTTTGTACTCTTCCTTTCAAGTTAGGTTTAGGTAAGGATGTTAATTACAAGGAAAGGAAGGAATCCTTTCCTTTGTACTCTTCCTTTCAAGTTAAGTGTAGGAATGTTGCCTAACTCAAGCATTACTAAATCTCAATTGATGAGACTACATAATTGGTTGTGGGCTCTTTTGATTCCTTGTGATCAGTAAGAGCATAAAAAGAAGGAAAAAGAAGAAGAAAGAATGGTCAAAATGTCAACTCCATGATGAATTGGACAAGCTTCTTTTGTTAGGTTCATCCCCAAAAAAATATATTTAATACCAATTTTAAGATGTTTAAATATTTGAATGGTACATATTTCATTAAAAAAATATATTGAAGTAATCATAAGCCCTTCTAACTTGTTTGGAACAGTTTACTTGAAATGATAAAAAAATAATTCATTTTTTTTTCATTTTACTAGAGGTATTATTATCTTACATAGAATATAAGTAAAGAAGACTGCAATTGATCTCAAATATTCGAGATATTATGGTTTATTTTTCTATCCAGAATTAAATTATCCAAATCTTGGATATTATATATATATATATATATATATATATATATATATATATATATATATATATATATATATATGAAAAAAAACATTTTTTTTTGGGTTTAAACAAGACTGATTTCTAACTTTTCTCAATAGTTTGGGGATATTTTGCTTTAAACGAGACAATATTTCTGGATATTTTCTTGGTAAATTATTCTTACGAGAAAATATATATAGAGAGAGAAATATTATATCTATATATATATATATATCAAGAAAAATATTTTATTTTGAGTTAGATAATTATTGTTTTCTTTTAGCCACAAAACGCTTTCGAGGGTTACATGTGGCGACAAAGGTGAGAGGGAAGTCTGCTTCGTGGGCTCTCACGTATGAACTTGAGACGGGAAAAAGGAGTGCGAGAGTCGAGGCTTAAGCCGCAAAGATTGACGTGAGAGCCGAAAGCACCGCACGCCGCCCGCCTTCCTTTTCCCCGTGCACCGATGACAAGACCGCAACAAGCAACACATCCACACGCAGCAGAAAACACAAAACCAAAAACAGAAATCGAATCTAATTCACCTTTGTTTCCTCCGTGATCAGCATGAACCATATATGTTTCAATTTGATGTATTTTCCCATTGATCTGATGGGAATATATATATATATATAGGTGCATAGGTGTTGGTCCCCTGATCACAAGTAGGATGAACTGGTCCAAGTCTCTTTCTTCGTCACCTCCATTAATGGCAGTGCCCACCCTCTTTAACCAGTCCAAAGGAGTTGGATTTCCTGCCTACATGTCCTTCCTTCCTTGGCATTTTGGAGTCATTGTTCATGTCTTACAACCCATTGTTTCTCGATCACATTGGTTTGGCAGAATGCTTCTTTCCCCCACCTCGTCATTAGTATAACTCACATGAGAATATGCTTGCTTCTAATGATAGCTTTGTTTAATGGTTGACCAAACTCTGCCTCGATACTTGCCGCCATCTATTTCATCGGCTCATACTTGCATGTGTTAAAAGCAAGATGGCATCCATCCATGCATGCATGCAGGCAGGCATTATTCTTGTCTTCGCTGCATCTGGTCGATCGTACGAGTGATGCGGCCAGCGGGAATACGATCGGTGTACTATGCCTAGCTCGATCATGAAAGGGTTTTGGAACTTGCAATCGCTTGTCTTGCCACGATCTTTATTCCCCTTCCCTACTCAGCTGGCGGCACACGTCTCTTAGTTCTCTTTTTTTTTATCTGGTTCGTGTCGTACGTCTGCGTTGGATGAAAGATCGTTCTTCCCTTCTCGATACGTTGCACCGTTAATGATTTGTGTTTTTTGATTCATGTAAGCATGTTTGTCTAAGGTTCGTTTGTGATAAGCTCGAGAAAACTTGGGGTGGAAACTTCCCAGTTGGTGTGTGTGACACAGCAAAGAGATAGCAGTGGTAGGATAAGACTCGAAACAATGCATTAGGGGATAAGAACAAGAGGAGCCTGCAATCTTTGGTATCTTTGACGCAGTACACCTTTCACGAAGCCTTTGCGTCTCTCTCCATCGCCAACGTTTCTCTCCTTAACCTTGTGCTGCACCTAGCTGAGAGCCGGCCGAGTCATCACTTACATGCCTGGTGGCTGCTGGTCTTCGTGCTTGTGGCCGCCATGAGGCCACGAACTCGAAGAAGAGGAGCTCTTGAAATGCGATTGGCAGGTGAAGTCCAGCATCTCTTGCGAAGACGCCGCGGACATGGAAGTCGGCGATGTCTGGGAGGACGTGGACGTGAAGGTGCTCCCAGCGTAGAGGCCGAAGGCCGCCTGGTGCAGGTCTTGGTCCCTGCTCTGGAGGAGTTGCGCGTACTGGAGCAGGTTCGGGTACGAATTAGCCGCCGGCAGCCGCTGCGTCGGTGGCTGGGGTTGCCGTTCCGAGCCTCCGCCGCTCACCAAGAAGCCGAGGTCGGTGCGGCCCTGTACTCGCTCGGGGAAGTTGAGCTTGGCTTTGGTGCCTTTGAACCGCAGGGCGGCTTCATCGTAGGCAATGGCGGCGTCCTCCGCCGTGTCGAACGTCCCCAGCCATACACGAGCTGCTTTCCTGGGATCCCTTATCTCCGCTGCCCATTTCCCCCATGGCCTCTGCCTCACTCCCCTGTAATGTCTTCTGCCTACATTACATGTACATGCGTCTCAGCTAAACGAGAGAGAGAGAGAGAGGGAGAGAGAGAGGGAGAGAAGATGCAAACTATACATGAGATAATGCATTGCGTACTAGCATAACTAGGTTCTCTTCCCATAACTTCCTATAATTGCACGAAAGCATCACAATGAACGGAGATTGATTTGATGATGAACATATAGATCTGTGTCAGTGGTGCAAGAAACACAAGCTCCGATATATATACCTTGCTCACCGGAGGGCTGCGTCCTGATCTCCGCCGAGCCAGACCCAGATCCGCTGAGTTTTCCATCATGCTGGACCATGACTGGCTCGCCTCCTCCGGCGCCGACGGGCGGCGAGCGGGAGCTGATCACGTGAGAGAGGGCCGAGACCATGGCCGATGCGTCCTGATCGGCGCGAGCCGGGGTGTAGTACTGCGACAACCAGCGCTCCGATCCTTCCTTCTCCTCCGGTGCCTCGTCAGGAGGGAGGGGCCTCTTCCCATGCCTTCGATCCACCTTCTACAAATCTGATCTCCTCTCTCCAGCTCAGCTTCCCATATAATCGATCGACTACGAGTTACAGATAATGTTGTTGTCGTTGCCGGTGCGTGATGGGAGGAGGAAGAAACCAAAGGAAAAGAAAAGAATATGCGAGTAGGAGAAGAGATATATATATAGATACAGATATGAACTGTAAAAAGAGAAAGAAGAAGAAGAAGAAGAAGAAGAAGAAGAAGAAGCAGAAGAAATGAAGGAACAGAAAGAGCGGAAGAAGTGAGGGAGATGGTGATAAGAACAGGCGTTGTTCGATGTGTTGGTGGGTGGCTTTTATTGGCTGCAAGTGTGTTGAGGTCCTACCTTGGCATTCTTTTTCTATCGTTCTTTGTTACCTTTAAGAATATGAAGGCCAAGCATCATTGAGTACATGTTCATGATTTCAATCAACTCTGCATCCTTTCAGCACATAACTTTATACAATGGTTGAATACACCTAATACATTGTTTTAATTATCATGACATAAAACTTCATACCATGAGATAAACAAGATTGGTTTGAGCTTGTTTTTTGGGATGTTTTTAATAGGACAAACAACTCTTTGGCTTTTATGAACCTATCTATCTTTTGCCTCAAAGGACTTCACTTGGAGCTCAACTCCTTCCTGAAGCTCTTATCTACCTAAAAGATTAAAAGAGGCTGAGGATGCCATAGTTACTTCTATCATACTCCTCTCCTTTTCAGTGATCAATCTGAACTTTTATGATGCATGATGGCCAATACTAAGGTATTTAGCATTGAACCAACACCACTGTAACAAAGCAATATGGTCTATAGTATTTATCATATTGGAAAGGACATGTCTTGTGTGACAAGCTAGCCTAGCTAGCTATTAATAGGGTAAGACTTGACCATGGAGGTCTTTGTGGATCTTCATGTGTCATACATTTTAATAAATGAGTTGTTGGGAGAGGAAATGGCACCAATTAATATGAGTTGAATTGTGAGATAGATAGTCTATTGTTCTTGGTCAATATATAGCCAAATACCACTGCTCCTGTGAGAATTAAAAGCAACACATCAACTACCACCTTGACCACCGAGCATTGAGCTTCTTCTTCTTCTTCTTCTTCTTCTTCTAGTGAGCTGATATCTCTCTCCACTGTGCTCTCATTTATGTTCTCAATGTGTACATATGATAGGCACATCAGCTTACATAAACATCAAGAATAAACAACACTCTTTCGATATTAAATGTGTGTTGGACCCAAAGAAGCTTCAATTGTAACGACAATAAATGTATAAAACAAAGGATAAAGTATTGTGATTTGCAGATTGGTCATAAAAACAATTAAACATCAGAAGCCAAAGTATAAATTATATGAAATGATGTCTGACTACTCATGCATTAATTTTTGGTTACCTCTAATGGTGTTCACACAGATGAAGAATCGAAATGCTCCACCAAATGCTGATGGAACAACTATGTACTTGGACATAGTCCTGATGCAAGTACTTTGAAGGGTATATAATCTTTGTACATATATATATATATCTGGAAATATTGTCAGATTGTTATAAGGTTCTCCATTATTTGATGCCTTACAGCAAGGTAATGGCTGAGATGATGTGGCCAAAATATGTTTTAGTGGTTGGCTTCTTAAAGCATTAACTTTGAGAGGATTGCAAATTTTGAATATTTTTAGTAAAACTAGATGAAATTTTTTTGACATGTATGATGTTTTACTATTGTTAACCATCCATGCATGGGTGAGATTGACATATTCATCAAAGAAGTGTTTTGATGTTTTAGTAAGGATAATATAGAAAGTGTTGTTTGGATAGTAATTTTTTGTTTTCAGTTTTCAAAAACATTTTACAATACCAAAAGTATAGAAAATTGTTTTCCTATTTTCCATTCCTCCACATCAGTACTTGGAATCTTCAAAGAAGGCCACTTCTCTCTCTCTGCGTGTGTACAGTAAGACCCGAGTGAGCATATTTGATATTTGCTTGTCACCAGCTTTTGAAGCTCAAAGGAGTGATCGCATGACATCTTCTTCCATACCCCAACAATAATTCTGAAATGATGCAGTCATTATTCATCGTTCTTGAAGGTGGTCTGACATCACATAGCTGTTAATGACAGCATGGCAACTCTTTCCTAGGCATCGGTGGCAAGCAGCAGGCAGGTGGAAGACGAGCAAGCCACAACCAGGCAGCACCACCGCAGAGGACACCAACTTGGCACTGCCTGCGAAGCCCCATGTGGAGAGCTGCATCTCTCTCTTTTCCCCGTAGCAGCAGTCACGCGCCTTCACATGCGGCATTCGCCCCCCAGCGGAAGCAGAAGCAGAAACAGCGCACCAGACCACCCCCCCCACCAATGATTGACCCCTGCGCTCCTCGTCAAGCTTGTCTCCTCTGCTGGCTCGCGGGGTTGCTTTCTCGCGGCCTACCACCGAGCATGGGCACTCTCGGATTGACCGGAGCCACCGCGGTCCTTGCCCTCTGATCCCGTGTCAGTGGGTTGGCACCGTCGCCTTAACTGGGCGGGCCTCCCGTCCATTGAATTCTAACTCTCTCCCATGGATTCCTTTTGAATGCGGGCGGGCCCACACACTTCCATTTGCCGCCTTCGTGGGGCCCTCCCCGTTTCCCGTCCTTAATTTTGTGACACTTGTCGACTCACGAGGACTTCTCCACTTTTTGCCCTCTCAATTGGAATATTATATTATATTATATATATATATAATACAAAATAAAATAAGATATGAAAGGGTTATGAAATTGAAAGGAAAAAAATTGAGGAGATAATAAATTAAATATTATTATTATTATTACAATAATACACCACAAAAGGTGAGTGTTTGTCATAAGTGATCAAATTGAACAACTTAATTTCCATATAGGAGATATAAAGATGGAGTAACGATTCAAAAGAAATCCATCAATGGAAATGCATGGATCCTTGAAATTGGACGGAAGAAGGCAATTTGGTACGCGTCAAACTTTGCAGTGATTAGGACAATATGGAGACTGTGACTCGTCCTTGGATATGCTATCCAGCACATGCATCGACCATGCTATCCATTATTGCCGGACGTCCGAGCTTTGCTCCGTTTCATAGGCATCTCCCTACTGCTAACTTAACTTTAGCCACCAATTACATAACTATTGATTCCATCGGCATTGGACGGTGGATATTTTAGTTTTTTTTATTTTTATTTTTTTTATTTTTTTTAACTTAATATTATTATTATTTTTACTCGATAAAATAAAATAGATCATTCATATCTCTCGGTATCATATGCCATCACCTCATTATTATCCTTTATATCATAGTGATATCTATTAATAATTTGAGATCCGAGTATCAATTTACATTTCGGTACCTTAAAATATTTTTATTTTTATTTATAAAAATAATTTATTAAAATATTTATCAATTAAACTAACAAGCACTCAAATATTATTTCCACAACAAATATCATATTTAATTCTAAATATTTCAGATCTTATGTATCAAAATCTTTACCAATTAAGTAGTTAACGAGGATCGAATGGGCCAAAACCACCCGAGTCGATGCCGGCCCATGTTGATTTCATCAGCACTTTTTTATAATCTCAAAGCAAGGCTATTGTGGGAGAACGTGATGAATCAGACGGTTCTAAATTAGTTCGAGGCGGGATAGGAGGATACCGAGCGGTGGTGGCTGTTGCCCTCGGCTTTCATCTCCTCTTCCCTGGAGATATCGCCGCCCTCGCATCGAGCTACCGAGGGTTTCCATATCAGATTCGGAGGTCTTGTTTTTCCTTTATCCTCCGTGTTTATGGTGGTACGTATACTGGACTTGGAGATGGCGGTCGCCGGCTTCGGAGGCGTCTTGAAGTCTCCGTTTCCCTTCCGCCGTCCGCTCGTCCTATGCGGCCGCCGCCGGAGCACCGCTGCCGCCGCTCCCGCTCCCTCTCCCGTCGCCATCGTCGAAACCCTGGCGAACCCCGATCGCCTTGTCGGCAGCGGCGGCGACCAGGCCGGTCCGGCCTCCGCCCCGCCTTCGTCGTCTTCTCCTAAACCCAATGGAAGAAGTAAAATCTCTTGGATGATTTTTATTTTTCTAATGACGCCTTCTTTTTTAGTTGTCAAACAGTGAAAAAAAAAGAGGGTTTCTTGTTTTATCTCTCAATTCGAAGTCATTGCGGAGAGATCAATGTAATTTTGTTCTTTCAAGGCAGTGAGGGCTTTCAAGGGTCTGAGTGGAAAATGCTGAGCTCCAAGGAGCTGGGAATTAGGTCTTCCATGATACCAAAGCCAACCAGAACGGTACTGAACGAGCTTCGAAAAAAAGGTTGTTTTTTTTTTCTTTTTCGAGAAGTTTTAATAAATCGAATTTGACTAAGTTGAATACAAACATAGCAGATTTCTAGTGTTGCAAGCTGAAATGTAAGAGCTAATCATCTTTTTTTCTGTTGCATTGATAACAAAACCTTGCTCATTGTTGCATCAAATGGTTATATTTGCTGTGGACTAAGATAATAAGTTCATGAGGTTTATGATTCCGCAGGCTATGAGGTTTATCTGGTTGGAGGTTGTGTGCGAGATCTTGTTATGAAGAAAACACCAAAAGATTTTGACATTATAACTTCAGCGGATCTCCGAGAGGTTTATCCCTGCTTTTTCTTCTTTATAAAACTTGATGGTATCGTTAAGTTTGGTATCATTTCAAATCTTTAGAAGACCTTTAGATCCCACAACTCAATATTTCAACAATGGTACACAACTGTTCCAAGATCTACAATGTAGATTTGGTAATGGGCCTATGGCATGGTATGTAAGGTTTAGGGCCTACCATAATCTTGAATGAACTTTTTGTTTCAAGCGATCCAAAAATTCAGACAGACAAAAGAGGACCAACAGGCAATAGTAATACTTTCTTTTGTATGACTAGGATTACTGCACATTCAGTTATGACCCTGCAGAGAACTTCATCATGTATATTGCGACTCAAATGGTTGGTTTCTGTTGTTTTATAACCTCCAAGCACACAATGTATCGTGCACAAAGGCTTTTTCAGCTTATGACTTGGTTTGCAATGTATTTCATTGGGGATTTGAAATTTATTTTTCTTAATTAACAGCATAAGACCTAATCGATAGGTCTTGTAGTTCAATGGTGAGAACAGATCCATGTAGCAAACCTTATATAGCAGGGACATAACAGAATCTTGTTGTTGTGGAACATAATCATGATATAGCAAAATGGGAATATCTAGGTTTTCAAATAGTCCCTATGAAATCCATATTTACTCACCTTTTATAATGAAATCTTGACAGAGGCTCTACTTGTGGTAGTTATGTCTTATACTAATCCATGATCCTTGAAAGCTGACATGACAAGGCCCTTCTCTAGCAAGAACAAGATTAAACATCTTCTTTGGCAAAGGGAGGATATGTATAATTAACACAAACCTTTGCACTTGTTTGATAAAAAGGCGCATGTTTTAGGAAAGGAGAGAACAGAATGGGAAAACACTGTGGTTAATCAAGAGGAAAACATGAACCATGGAAATATTTGAGACACCAGTATTCTAGCAGAGTAATTACGTTTTTCTAATTTATTAAAATTATGTAGGGCTTATAAATCCTAGTAAAATGTTCTGGAATGGAGGGAATAAATGTATTATCACTGAAGTAGCTGGTTCCTCTTTTCATGCTGCATCCTGTGCTTGGTATAGACACTTTAATTCCTACTTCAGTAACATTTGGGTGGAACTGGGATGGCATGTTTGTACTCCTATTCTCTTCCATGGTTCTCTTGTTTTTCTGTTGGTTGGTTTCTTTATTTTTTTTAATGATATATGTCATCTATATCATATGTTAATTATAGCCTTACATAATATTTGCAGGTGAAAAAGAATTTTTCGCACTGTGATATAGTTGGAAAAAGGTTTCCAATATGCCATGTGCATGTTAATGACTACGTAGTGGAGGTTAGTTCTTAGTTAAGCTTTTTCTATTTTCTGCAGAATATGGGCTTCCTGGTCCTTAGATTACTCAGCAAGATAAAAGTTCTTGCATATTTTGTTAGTTTCCTGTCAATTCAAATATGCTTAAACATAAAATTACAGATAAATATATCTCTCTTTATATAGATTCACATAATATGTACATTGTATATTTATACATGTTTGCATGTGAGGGACTGATGGAAAAAGTTGCTGGGGTTTTTCACTTGATTTTGGGGTGATCTATTTTTCCTTCTTTTTCTATTGGTTGATTTGAAAGGGGGCCTGTGATTTAGGGCAAGTTTCTTTAGCACCAGTTTTATGTAGGCCAAGAACTATGATATTAGTATGATGCAAGACAAGTTGCTCTTGTTTGTTTTTTTGTTTATTTTAGATAATTTTCTCTTATACCATATCTGATGTAGAGTGAGCATCTTGATGTGCCATATACTTATTAGCAAAATCTATGGTTGGGATTACTTTTCATTCTTGTAGTGCATCTTCAGTCGGATATATTTACCCAAATTTCTTCCGTTTTATTTTAGCTTCTTATTCTTCTCCTTGAACGATCTTGATAAGTGGAATATAGTTACATAAGATGTTATCATGTGGCAATTTAATATTTTAAAAAACCTCCTGAAATATTACAATTATTGTAGAGACAAAATAAACAAAATAGCTCCTGCACACTCTGACACGCCGATTTTGGATTGTTAGACTTACCCTGCAGTGAGGATCAACTTTTTTATGAAAATCAAAAAATAACTTTCTGTAGTCAGGTAGATTCCTCATGTTAATTCACTCTTCTTAATCTGATGGAGCAGGTTTCAAGTTTTAACACCCATGGAAGAAAGCAAAACCATGATTTGACTAATTTTTCAAGATCTGGTTGTGATGAGCATGATTATGTTCGTTGGAGAAATTGTCTTGGTCGGGACTTCACCATTAACGGGTTATCATTTAGTCTCTTCAAAAGTTTGAACGTGATTTGCTTTAATTTTGCTTCTTTAAAAAAGTTGTTTTCCGAGTATATTTGATTCATTTCTCTTCAAGTGATTGCAAACATATTTGTGACATACTGACATGTATGCTTCTTTCCTTGGAAGCAGTTCTTACTCTCCCTTCTACCTTTTTCTTTTCAGGTTAATGTTCAACCCATATTCGAAGCTAGTTTATGATTACTTAGGAGGCATGGAGGACATTAAAAATTCCAAAGTGTGCATGTATTTCATAATTGTCAGACATTATTCTGCAACAACCCTTTTACCATGACTTTTGAGCTCATGTTTTTTCTCCTTTTCAATTAGGTTCGGACTGTAATTCCTGCAAATATGTCCTTCTCGGAAGACTGTGGTGAGTTAACTTATTTCCCACCCCATTTTTTAACCTTATTTACGTCTAGAAACATGTAATCTTTCTTTCAAAGCATTGTATGGCACTTCTTGTGATCCTTTGCAGCCCGTATTCTGCGTGCAATCAGAATTGCAGCTCGTTTAGGTTTCCGTTTTTCAAAAGAAACAGCCTATTCTGTGAAGGATCTTGCTAGCTCAGTACTTAGACTTGACAAGGTATCACACACACACACACACACACACATATATATATATATATATATATATATATATATATATATATATATATATATATATATATATATATATATATATATATATATAATTTTTAGCCTTTTTCTTACTCTAGGTTTTAAATGTCAATTAGTTGATGAAAACCTTGTTTTTTTTGTCATTGGCACAATTTTTTCCATATTTTAGGGAAGAATCCTCATGGAAATGAACTATATGCTAGCATATGGATCAGCTGAAAATTCTTTGAGATTGCTTTGGAAATTCGGCCTTCTTGAACTACTATTACCTATCCAGGTCCATCATATTTCAATTGGTCGGCCTATTTTATTCATCATGTATCTTCTGATTTTGTTCTTTGCTGAAATTGAATGCTTTGATTGCACTTGACAGGCAGCATATTTTGTTTCACAAGGTTTTCGAAGGCGAGATAAGCGATCAAACATGTTACTGGTATGATTAAATCTAGACTCTTTGTTTTTCTGATAACTTTTCATTTTCAGTATCTGACTTGGACAGGACAAATATAACAGCATTACATGGAATCGGTCTTGATATGGCAGAATAATGAAGATTTGAGAGATGAGATGATTGAAATCTTTGCTTTTGATCTATCGATCTTTACTTTTGATCTTTTCTCTTATAGAGAATTCTTTTTTGTTTGTAAACATAGGAGTCTAGTTAGTAGTCTAATACGACGATTGGAATTGTTTTCATGTTGAAACTTTTGATTTTCTCTACAGTTTGATGGTCATGGTTATCTTCCACCAACTTCTGTGAAATTCATCCAGTTTTTAACCCTCATCTTTCTTACCATGTCATCTCTCTATACTCCATTTATCTATTTAGTTTTATATTGCATCAAACTTGCATGAAGAAAGAAATACAAAGAAGGGGAGGTCCAGTAGACTGTTTTCTCAATCATGTGAACTACAAATTGAAAATGAACAAATATTCTAACATTTACAAATTTTTAGTCCATTTTAATTGTAGACTGAAGTTGCAGTTCTTTTGCTTGACTTTCTGTATGCAGGCTATGTTTGCCAACCTGGATAAGCTTCTTGCGCCTAACAGGCCATGCCATAACAGCCTCTGGTGAGTTGAAAATTCATTTTGGTTTTTCAGTTGCATTCAAAAAAATGCACTAACAATAGCATGCCAATACTATTCATGTCAATTACAAGTGTATCTTTGCCACTTAAATATTCAGGGAACTGTTTACCAATACTACCTTGTAGTACAGGATCATATTTAGATTTGTAGTTCACATTGTTCTTTTGAAATTCAAGTCTTTGTTTAATTTATGAAATCCGTAGAACTAACATGCCACTGGTACAGAGTTGGGGGGTGTCAATTGCACATGATGCAGCCTGTCTCAATTATTAAACAATAACTAATTTGAATCAGCATCTATCTCAAACAAACTATGGAACAATAGACTTTTGTTGCTTTAGTACCACAGCAGGTATCACCCTCCTAAGTGTATTATGATCTTTATTGGCAGTGGGGCAGGATGAACTCATCTTTGTCATTTAATGGTCATTTTCAAGCTATATCGCTGTTCATCTGTTAGCAAGTCAATTGTGCTCCAATTTCTAGTTAGTTTATGGTCTCATTGTATTTCCCTTGCTTTGAGTTAGTTCATGTTTCAGTCACTCTCACCAATCAGTTTGAGTTAGTTCTGGACTTAAATTCCAGTCTTCACTTGTTATTTTGGTTGGTACAGTTTCAGTTGTGAATTTATTGCTCAGTTCAGATGAGGCGGGGGCCATCGGGCTTTTATACTGGTATACCATAGTAGATAGATAAATAAAAGAAGTAAATATATGTGCTGTGGTATCACCTCACAGATGATAATCCATGGTTACTGGAAACATGACGACGACATTGATATTGAATCTGTGATATGATCTTGGTTACTTTTTTCTGAACTTCTTTTTAGTTTTATATATTGCTCCATTTACTTAAGGCTTCCATTTATTTTCATTTTCAGTTATATATATATTTTCTGAACTCTAATCAGTGTTTCATTTTTTTTATTAGCATGATGTTATTCTACTGCAACGTTCTTAGTAGATTATCTACTTATCAGGGTAGGGATTTTAGCGTTTCATCAAGCACTAGTTCGTCAACCTCGAGATCCCTTAGTAGTAGCGATTTTCACCCTTGCTCTTCATAATGGAGGGAATTTGTCAGAGGCTGTAGATATTGCGAAGAAGATTACCCATTCACATGACGGTAGCTATTCGGAATTGTTGGAACCTCAAAAGTGGGATGCTGAAGGGGACTTGCTTAGTGACGTTATCGACCTTGCTTCGTCCGTTGGTTCAGCATTAAGTTCAATGACAGATGAGCATTTAGTTTCGCAAGCAATGGCACAATATCCTCAGGCCCCATATTCTGATTTAGTGAGTATAACACGGTCCTCAAAGAAGTAAATCAATGCTTTTCTCCATTCAAATTTTCTGATGGTTGCTTGTGAAATTTGTGACTAGCATCGATCATGTAACATGTTTCTTGATTTAATGGAACTCTTGCTTGTCTTGCAGGTATTTATACCGCTACAATTGTATCTGAGAGTTTGCAGGTTGTTTGAGTGTGTTAGATATGGACAGAGGGAGAGAGACTTGGTCACCAAAAAAGGGTGTAAAATAAACTATTTCACTCTTGCCCAAGGTGGGCTTGCCGAAATCCGACATGTTTTCGCCAGAGTTGTCTTCGACACAGTCTTTCCTCTCAACCTAGAGAATGAGGACAGAGCAAATCCTGCCTGAAGGATTAGTGACAAAATTGACATATGACAGGATCGTACTCGAAAGAAACAAGATTGATTCTGCGCATGCCATGAAGATATCGTCAAAAGCAGGATTGAAGCCAGCACAACTTAACTTTCTTTGGACTTTTAATCGGTAACCATGGATATTATCTGTGAGAAATGCTACTGAATTGGATATACTGGATTTCTGCTTTCAGGCTGGATGTCAGATCTCAAATAATCAGTCAGTCATGGCCTGAACACTTCAACTTGGAGAGCTCACCCATGTTTCTCGAGTTCTATATTGATGCTGTTATACTACTGATGTTCTCATCGCGATCGGTGTAAATTTAGAATGAGCGTAGATGACTGTTGTCATTAAACAATTTTCATTTGTTATATGAGCGTAGATGAGGGTAGAATCTTATTCTTATGACCTTTGATGCATGCAATTTGTGTTACACAGGCTTTGCCATGTGAGTACTTTTGTGAGTACATACTGTATATTGTTATAAAGGATAAAAGGTGAAGATGAGATTCAAATTTGGTATCTTACAATAAAGTGTCAAAATCTTTATCAGATAAATTAACTGATATTTTTTTTGATATTTTATCTAAGCACTCAGAAGAGCAACAAGTATTATTATTATTATTATTATATTATGAAAAATATTGTTAAGAGCCTCAGACCACTCTTTTGTATGGCACTCATAAACATAATATTATATAATCCCTCAAATGTGATAATATATTGCATGACTAATTTTAGCAAATTGTTAAGTTCCAAGCAGATGGTTTCAGAAAATGAAGTTGTATACTCTTTCAAATGGGATAACATATGAAATATGAAAATTCACACACTAAAAGGGAAAGACAAAATGTCCATTATTATCATGGGAAAAACTCATTCAATCTAAGACAAAAGGGCAGCTTGTAGTAAATTTTGGTACATGTTTCATCCAAATTCTAGACCTCGTCATTTTAGGAACACTAGCAAGCAAATGTTATAACCAGGTGAGGATAAAGGTTGACCATTAAAAAGTTCCCTGCTAGTCCTATCAATTAGAAAACACTGAGGTATCATAAAGAAAACTCAGCCTGTGGACACTGAAGACATTCTCAAAGAAATCAGGCAATCAATCGGAAATCAAATTAGCGCTTCTTCTTGCTTGACTTTGATGGAGTTGCAATCACGTAGACGAACAATCCGACCAATGTCAGAACAGACACCAGCGATCCATATTTAGCTAACAGCCTCTGCATACACCGAATCATTTTAAATCAATGAGCTTTAGACTGGGAATGTTTCGGAAGTATGATGAATACGCAGAAAGAAGTAGACTTACCTTTGCCTGAAGCAAGTTGAATCATATCGTGCCGGTTTGCAGAGAATGCCAACACATGAAAGTCGCAATCGAGCATCAGAAATTGCAAGACAGGGAACAACTAATTAGTAATCGATGCATAATGCCATGTGGATGACTCACCCATTCAAATTTCTTTTCAGGAGGCTTGTCGGCGAGAACATCTATTGGCTGAATGGGGGTAGAATAAGCTTCCTACAAGGGTGAACATCAATTACAACATCCTTCCAGTGAATAAAAGAGGTAGCAAACATCGATCATTAACCATATTAGCAAAAGGTTATAATATAGGTATGGATTCTTATCTACAATTTCTCCAGCAAAATCTCCGAGGCTTTTAAAATAGGTGAGAAGAAATCATTTAAGCACTTTAACAAATTTCAGAATGTTCAAGAACATTCTTATTATTATTGCCACAGAAGGATAACTCTCAAGAAGTAGATCGCAAGATGTTGTCCTTCATGCCCAATATTTTCTTTAAAAGATTTCATGCTCAACGGTTTCAAATGCCAGCCAAAATGAAATACAATATGGACTCAAAATGCATCGCCTTAAAATCTTACTAATGCTCCTTTACAAACGAGGTAAGAACCATACCTGTAGGGCAGCCTTTGTGGGAATACGAAATTTGATGACAGCAGGAGAACCATGGAACATGCCCTTTGCTTTAGACTCCAAGACAAAAGAGTGAGAGGCTGAGGAACCACTGAAAGTAACAGAAATCATATTTATCACAAAGACCAATGGCTTTACCACGAATGAGATTTTAGGATTAGATATGCTTACGCATCAAGCCTTTCCCATGTCTTTGATGAACTGCCAGAGACAAGATCAAACATATCTTGTGACCAACTATCATCGTTCATGCTCACGTCATATGCAGTCCTGAAATATTACCGATTAACGTACAGCATGATGTATGCAAATCAACAAAGCACACTGATGAAGGAAATTTTGGGTGGATCCAAGGCTAAAAACCGCAACTCTTAGCTGACAATAATACACTTAAGAAGAAGTTACTAAGATTTATTGATAACAGACACTAATCATAAAAGAAATATAAAATGTTGATTGAAAATGGCTCCAATCTAAATGAATGAGCAATTTGCCATTGCATTGGCTCCATACAAAGATCTCACAGAATTGCAAGGAACATAAGAAAGGATAAAAAAGAGATGCGAATAAGGAGAGAATGGAACATAAAGACCTAATTACCAAAAACAAACTTCAAAATTTGATAGGTAATCACCTCTAACAAAGGAAAACAAATGTCTGCATAGCACTTAGAATATGAGAATTACAAGATTAATCAAGGAATTCCGGATGGCGCAATAGCTAACCTCATAACAGATTTTAAAGAAGATACAAAAAGTTTCGAAACAACTTGGACAAATTGGAACGAGCAAGGGAATTTAAATAACTTAGAGAATAAACTGATTGATTTATTTATACGCTTTATATGGAAGCAAAAACATGAAATATAAATAAAGACAAGTGAAACAATAACCAACAAAGCAAAAGGCAGGCAGCACTTAACTGACTTATTCATTCTAAGTAGTTCTTTGTTGTTGCAAGTGATCTCAAAATAAGCTATTGAGCTCAAGAATAATTGATTAACTCTGGAGAATGGTTTAATGACTAATCAATCCCTCAATTGGCATGAATTTGTCATGATGGAAATAACAGAACCTATTTTATAAAACAAGATTCAAAACTATATCCGATACACGAAGAAAAGAGATATTAGTAGCAAACAAAGTACTTCTATACCAAGCAGATGGTATAAAGAAAGCTAATAAAGTAAGAAATCAACGAAAAAAGTAACGTTTCCTAGATCTGAGATGTCATGCATATGATTCCATTAGAACAGACGATCGATACGAGCAACATAATTAAGTAAGAAGACACAAAACTAAAAGTAAACGTTGTCTTTTCAATCTGCGATGTCATCGAATGGATAGATCGGCGTTTGATATCAATCAGCGTTTCCCCGATCGGAGACGCCGTACGTACGATCCATCAGTTAGATCGGACGATCGATAAGAGAAACAGAACTCTAGACCGTAGAAATGCGTAGATCTTTGGGGCTAACTCACGAGAGTCCTTCGTTGTAGAGGTCGATCGAGACGGAGACCCGCTCGACGCCAGATTTGAGCCGCGTGAGGCTCACCTTCTTGTGCGCGACCATGAATGGCGCATCGGAGCTTGCCATCACCGCCGGAAGGGCGGCGACGAGGAGCGCCGCGAGGAGGTAGAGGAGGAAAGCTCCCGATCTCGGCCTCGCCATGGCTAGGGTTACACAGCTCCTCGGACAATAGCCGGTGCGAAGTACCCGTCCACATTGGTTCCTTCCCTTTTATCTTCCCACTGTGGCGAAGTTACAATATGCCCCCTAACAAAGCATTATTACGTAGAAACTCAAATTAAAAGAAACAAACTTTATATGCACTATGTTTAGGGGGTTATTTGAAAACTTCACATTAATCCCCTTCTTCTATTTTTCTTCTCTGACGAAGTTACAGTATGCCCCCTAACAAAAGTATTATTACATTTCCGTTATAGAACTGTACATTCGTTACGATATATTGATTTCTTCTATAAAAAGATATTCACTTATCTTTTTATGATTTCATCGAGGATATTTTGATTAAAAGATAAAAATGATGCTTCTAATAAAAATGAAATATGGAGGTGTCATCTTATAAAAACCCATTATTAAAAGTTTTTTCGATAAATTATCTAAATATAAATCTCACTTATCTTTTTATGATTTCATCGATGATATTTGGATTAAAAGATAAAAATGATGCTCCTAATAAAAATGGAGGTGTCATCTTATAAAAACCCATTATTAAAATTTTTTTCGATAAATTATCTAAATATAAATCTCACTTATCTTTTTATGATTTCATTGAGGATATTTTGATTAAAAGATAAAAATGATGCTCCTAATAAAAATGAAATATGGAGGTGTCATCTTATAAAAACCCTATTATTAAAAGTTTTTTCGATAAATTATCTAAATATAAATCTCACTTATCTTTTTATGATTTCATCGAGGATATTTTGATTAAAAGATAAAAATGATACTCCTAATAAAAATCAAATATGGAGGTGTCATCTTATAAAAACCCATTATTAAAAGTTTTTTTGATGAATTATCTAAATATAAATCTCACTTATCTTTTTATGATTTCATCGAGGATATTTTGATTAAAAGATAAAAAACGATGCTACTAGTAAAAATCAAATATGGGGTGTCATCTTATAAAAACCCATTATTACAAGTTTTTTTCGATAAATTATCTAAATATAAATCTCAAAATATATAATAATAAAATATATAAAATTTTTAAATGATATTTCAAACCCTTGACTTTTGCTGAATGAATGAAATTTTGAGTTGGATAAGTTTGATGGATCAATACCAAATTAATATTTCATTAAATAAAATTTTACATTGTTAATCTCTGATAAGTAAATCCAGTATATTACTACCATATTATTGTTACACTGCCATCAAAATAAAAATATATTTTTTATGTAACCAAATAAGATTTTAAATCCTCAGCATGATGGAGTACACCACCACCAAATGAGCTGACCTTTATACAGCAGCCACATACATATCCAAATCCACTGTGACAACCAAAATGAACATTTATAACATATATGCCTCACTTTTAGGAGCAAAGAGAAAGTAAAGGCTAATACTATTCCCCAAAAACATAAGAAAAGCAATAGAAAGTGCATGGCATTACATATGCAAATGACTAATGAATCACCTCACTTCAGATATTGAAAGTAATACATGATATAGTTATTTTGGGACAATCCACAATAACAACACAACCTAATCTCTGGTACATCTGAAAGAACAAATAAAACAAAATTAAATAGAAACAAACAAGGAAGATCAAAGAACCTGACAAGAACCAACTCTTAGTACAACAACATGCTATCTTTCATTTTTGTAGAGATATAACTAGGCCTATTTGGCACATGGGTTGCATAAATCTGAACAGTTCAGAATGTATCCCCCGACAAAATTACATCTCAATCAAACCCAAAGAAACGAAATCTACATGGCACACGGAACTAAACTCAAACTCCAAAGCTTGACACAAGAACCATTATTTTGAATATTCTGGATCTGGATCTTCTTTTTTTTTCCGATTCCTCCCAGGTTAGCTGTATAAAATTAACTAACCAATACAATGTACGAGATATGAAAAACTCAAAGCCGTCCACCTCACTCGCAAGATGGTTCACCTATCGTAATCTTAGAACTCGATAAGTATGTAGCAAATATCACCTTAGGTAGCAATTCCTGCAACAAAAAGTTAAATATCAGGAAACAATTATCTTTTACAAAGGAAATCAAATAGATTTCTATCATGCAAAACTTGGAAGGAAGACTTTGATCCCGTAAGTGCATATCTGGAAAAACATACAGGCTATACCTTTAGCTCTCTGCCAATATATCTTTAACATATTAGAATTTTATGAGAAAGAGGCAATATAATGTGAATAAGTATCATAGAGACAAGATAAGAAGCAGAACAAAAATAAATTTGAAAATATCTGCTTGCACACCTATATGAACCACTGAAGATTTCTTCCATCTAGATAGTAGATACTGTATCCATACCCTCAGTACGGAAAAAGAAATACAGCTGTCATATGGTGAAACATATGATGGTTGACTCTTTATTATTTGTTGTTTTTTGCAAAACAAGTCAAATATAATTAACCCAAAATATGATGATAAACTTCCAGGAAGCAGAAACAAAACAAATTATCCCTCCTAGTGTTTATGAACAGACTATCTGATGCACAAACCACCCAGATATTATTATGGCATCAATGCTGAACCTTCATAGGAGGAAATTTATCCAAACATTATTTCTCAGAAGAAGTTAGAACTACATCAGAAGCACACTTAACAACAAGATCCCGATCAATATGAATTGTTAGTCCATGCTCTGAAGTTGTATCCAGTCATCAATATAGACATGAAGTCCAACAAATATAAATAAATTCTGAAGCAAGGTCAAGCATGAAGATACTAGTGCGGATAAACCTACAATTCATCTGGAGTAGACAATGAGAATATAGGTTAAGTGACTTGATAAACAAAAAGGTAGAAAGATATGGATTACTAGCCATTTTGATGAGGTTTGTCATGATGCTATTTTGGTGAGCAATTGAATCTAATTGGGGTAGGTTGAGAGTTTTAATGCATAGGTTCTTGATTATTGTCATATGGATTCATTGAGATTTAAGCGAAGCTATGTTCTCAGCTACAGGAAGAATGCCTAGAATGCAAAGGATATATGCCTTGGTTTGAGAAACTAAGAAACTGTACTTCATTACGGAAATTCTATTCCGTGCTAACGAACCGTTTGCTAAAAGAATAAATTTACTTAATGATGCATTTAGGTTGCTTACCTTCAGGCCTCTGTTGCATGCACTAGGGAAGTAGTTCAATTATTACAGCCAATACTAGTCTAAAGTTCGAGATGCTCATCTTTCCATATATACACAAGCACTCGCAGGCTGTAGAATCCATGCCAAATGAAGTGCAGGCTAATGGTGCAAAACAACTAAATCATCTTGTGCTGTTGAAACCTAAAGTTTTGGTAGCATGTACACTTAGTTTACACTTAACAGTATCATAGTAAGAAAATTATCATCCTATGAAACCACATGAAACTAGCAAGATGTGCTTAATTAAATTCAAAAGCCTTGTCATAGAGTCCATATACTGTTTGTGTTTAGCTCGAAGATTATGCAGCTCATGCCTTTGTTTCTTCATCTGATGGTAGAAGGGTTCAAACTGTGTACCTAAACTTATTCATTAAGCAAATTTAGGTATCCATTTTGTTATACTCTGTGTAGCAGACCTTAGATAACGCAAACAGCAAAATAATGAAACAAATTGAAATAAAATTTAAATTTGTGTGCAAACTCATGTTTCATGTTCTATAATTGCAAGCACCCTGCAGATTGCCAGACCAGACCTTGGTCCCATAAATTATATTTCCGCGTCGACAACCCAACTCTAATGTTTCAAAGTGCAGAGTATAAAATAAATCTCAGAGAAAAAGTTGAAAATATTATAACAAACGAGCTAGCATATATATTAACTTGCATAATGGTTCTTAACTACCATATGAGTTGGCCAGACATGTTGGAATCTGTAAGGTACATATCCAGAGTAAAAAGCTTCCAGGACACTATAGTCATTCTTGTATACAATGAATTAAGAGGTTAACTAAATATGGTCAGAGTAAATTCAGATCTCAAAATATACAGCAAAGAGAAAGATACATGTATCTGTGGGAGAAGAAATAAATGTCCATCCATCTACAATGAGGTTGAGTGGATTTTTGGGTGTGTTTATGTACAAGGGTCTTCAACTTGATATCAAGCAAACTGTTAAGACTAATACAACTACGTACAGAATTACAAAAACTTCATCAGTTTCTTCTTTATTTTCCTTTTTGTTTTTTGGGAAAAAGTTGCCAATATTGTGAACCTCTCATTCCCAGCCTTTAATGGTCTCTGTCCAGGGTTACACAAGCTCCTTAATTGTCATTTTCAAGATCAATGCAATAAAAAAATGATATAAGACCATCCAAACCATTGCAAACCAGCAGAATTTTGTCTCTTTTACAAAGTCCAAAAATTGCTTTCAATTTCTCGTAGTGGACTACAGTAATTCTTGTTAGATCTCCATCTCTTCTTTTTTCTAAGAAGTAAGGCACCTAGAATATTTGTTGTTCACGATTCAGATAATATGTTTCACACTCCAAGACTGAAGCAGACTGAGTTAGTGAAGTTGAACCACTATGAAATTGATAAAATTCAAGTATAATTACAGAGTTCGGTGCAAATATCTAATGCAAAGTATTAATAATTTTTCAACTGTTTCATCATTTTTCAGAACTTTACTGATATTAGCATTTACAGAGCCAAATTCTGAGATTCAGCCATTCATTTGAGATGTGTGAGGTTCGTTCATGTTTGTTAGAGATCTTACTGACCCTTCTCTATACAAAATTTAGAGAATCCTTTTATAATGATTAATGATGACTATTATGTAGGTTAAAATTCCTATAATCTTGCAGCCAGGGAACCACCATAATTGCTGTTTGCCATCCTTCATCATTTTCTTGAAAAGCTTAAAGAAACCAGGTAATCCTAATTTTTATTGAAACCGAATTGTTATCGGGTTTAGTATGGGTGCACCTAATCAAGGAGGTGTTGTTCATCAAAGGATGATAACACAACCGATGGTTGGGCTGGCATAACATTTGCAATAATGAAAGCCAAAAATAGCAAATTGTGATAGAATTTCCTTGATACAAAGTGGAAAAGTTTAAGTTAAAAATGGTATTCTTCCACACTCCTTTGATGGAGCAGCTTAAACCTTTCTTGGTTGCAGAAAGCTCGGATAAGGAGAAGGTACTGTATCTCCTGTGTGCTTCAAACTTCAAAGTAATGTGTATGATTGTTAGAAATAAGAAAAGATGAGGCATGAGGAAGATTCTGAACCACTTATCTGCAATGTGTTCAAGAAAGTGTTTTCTAAGGAAAGATGCTTCCCTTATAATGAACAACAATATCAGCTTAAAACAAAAAAATCCATATAGCAAAGGAAATAAATGTGAAGGACTAGTCAATCTTGCCCCTAGCCTTTCTAGTACTGAGGAGAGAATGCAAAAGATTCTATACAGGATTGAGTTTATGGCAGCATTTCAGTCCATAGTTTGCTTTTAAATATGATCGGGACCCTTTCTTCGGAAAGTGCAACCAAGTTGTTCTGAGCTAAGAGGTAACTAAAACAAAACAAGAGATTCAAGTGGATAAAGTCCTTAGACAACCACAACTTTGAGTATTTAAGCATAATTTCAGGATCTCAAAGGGCATGAAGGAATTTCAAACATGGACTTAAAAGTCTCTATGGCACTCCATCTGTACAAGGAATAGAACAACATCATGATCATGTGAAATGCACTAGGTCCAATAGAAGACATCTTGTGAATGCTTATAAATGATTTCTGGTGCTTATTCTAAATGTGGTCAGTGGGGTTAAAAAAATATGGTCGACGATAATAAAACAGATCTTCAGAAGAATCGGAAGTATCAAACAGTGCAAGCACTTCAACTTAACTAGGAAACTCAGGCCCATACACCCCAATCCATACAAGGTCAAGCACCCCTGCTGAACACAAGAGGCAGATGAAACAATCAAGGTAAAGCGCATGTTGTAGACAGAATAGTCAGGTTTCTAATTGTAGTAGTGAGCGACATTTTTCAGTTTTTCCCATACATGTTCATATTTTGACAAATCCTATTACTCTCTTGCATTTCATTCTACTTTCATTTAGTAGTACAAATTACCTTCTAACACTTTGGAGCTTTAGTTGTGTAAAAAATCTGTGGGGATATGGTTGCTGCCAATGATGTTTCAAATTTTTATTCTACCACGCAGATGGTCTTGAATGTTAGCAGAATTGTCTGTCATGAGCATATATAACTTTGACATAATAAAAGGAAGGATTTGTTGACAGCCCAGTAAGGGCCATGCCCAGCATTTGAATTCAGTAATGATTGTTGGTGAGAATAAAACTACCGATGTAAAATGCTGATTCTGTATGTAAGATGACGGAAACAATAAAAGTTTAGCATGTAATGTTTGGTATGTGCATTATATAAGCATACATTTAAAATACATTCATCGTCAAAAAGTAAGAAGCATCATCTTTCTCAAACATTGCAATGAAGAGAATGACTATGCACACAATACATGGAATTTTATAGCATGATTAAAGCATAAAAGGTGAAACTTTGAGGGTTGACCACAAAACTTAGATGACTTATGGATGCAATGATGCGTAAAAGTGTTTATTCATTAGTGGATTTATGGATCCGATTGATGCATGAAAATGTTCATTCATATTGGCATCTAAAAGTAGCTTATTCAGGTTTCATACTTGCATGCATGCTCATGCCTGTAATTTTCTTCTTCAAGGCTAACAAGAAGACATATATAATCTATATTTGGATAAAGTTAAAGAAACTGCTTACCTCTATTTGGTTGTCTATTGGTAACATTATAATTGCCCGCATAACCAGCAGAGCCCTTGCCTATGATATCTGAAGGCATATTACCAAGCCCATATTCAAATGGACCAGTACCCTCAAGTTCTGAAGATGATGATCGCCAAGTAGGATCACCATAAACTGAACTGCCACTGTACAGCTCCGCATAATTTCCTTCAAATTCACCAGTTGATGCAGCAAAGGAAGTTTTAGCAGATATAGTACCACCTTCTCTCCCAAAATTGCCAGCACCAAGATCGAAATCACTATCATCATCTCCATAACTGAGATTCCCACTAACATAACTGGAAGTGCTTTCCCCAGCCCGAGCTGAGATAGGAGGAGCACTTCCCCAGTTCGAAGTCCTATTGGCAAAGCCGCCAAGGCTACCATTCCCAAAGGCCATATAGTCATTGTAACTTGCATTATTCATAGTATAGCTAAGACCTCTACCACCCCAAGCATTCCGAACCATTGAGCTGAAATCAGAGCTAGTATTTGTACTACTCCCACCATAACCATTAGGACTAGTGTATCTAGTGGAGTTCCCAGTGTAATATGGGCTTAATCCACCCCCATATCCAATATTGTTGCTAAAACTTGAATTCCCTCCAAAGTTTGGTATCATACTAGGTTCAAAATTCATCTTCATTCCAAAGCCAGGACCAAATGAAGAGAAACCATTCCTTGCACTACTAGAAAGTCCTAATCGACTATCCGTCCTCATTCCGTAGCCACCAATCAAGCTTGGATTGTATCCCTGAGTATATCCATTCAGAAAGCTGTTCACTCTATTCAGACCAGAGTTATATCCGCCAATAGGGGAGCGCATGTTAGGCCCTGGGGAGAGTTCTCTGGGAACAGCTCTCTTGACCTCTACCATCTTGCCATTCAGCTCATGGAAGCTTTTAAATAGCACCTTATCCACAGCATCCTCTGAGTCGTAGGTGATGAAACCAAATCCCCTGGGCCTACGGGTGTTGTGATCATACATCACCACAACATCAGTGACTGTCCCAAACTGATCAAAGTACTTCTTGAAGTCACCCTCCGTAATGGTGGATGGCAGGCCTCCCACAAAAATCTTCTTAGTGCGGCCGTTAACAGGAGAAGCATGCACGTTGCTGTTGTTTCTATAGAGGATCTGTTGGTCGTCCTTGGGAACAGCTTTCTTCGCCTCAACCTGAGCAATTGATCGATTCAATATAACAGTTTCACGAACGAATTGCTGATCATCGAGAATTGTCTAAAACTAAATGCCATCAACATTGTCCAGAATCAAAATCACGAGTTATAATTTGCAATGCTGAGCGTAAAGATTTTAAAGCATGTTCAAAGAGCAGAAGAGAAAAGGCTGGACATTTACCATCCGACCATCGATCACATGCTTTTCCATGACAACCTGCTCCGCGACGGTCGGGTCTGAGAACACAACGAATCCGAAACCGCGAGCGCGGCCAGTGGTCCGGTCCTTCATGATCACGGCCTCCACCACCTCTCCGTAGTTCCTGAAGTACTCCCGCAGGCGCTCCTCGTCGGTGTCCCAGGAAATCCCACCGACGAACAGCTTTCCGAGATCCGACCGCATTCTGTTTTCTGCAAATTAAGCATCCTTGACTTCCCGTTGCCACAATCATAATCAGATGAAGCCGAATTCCACCAATTCAAGACAGATATAACCCCCCAGACAAAAAAAAAAAAAAATCACGCTTTACCAATCAAACGGAATGAATGATGGAAAAGAAAAGAAATCAATTTTGAAGAATCGATGCAAATAGTTATGATTGACTTCAGAGAACAACTCGAACATTCCTTTTTGAGTCCTCCAAAATGTTTGATAGCTCGGGCGATCAGAAATGGCGTAGATCCGATGGGAATAAGAAAGCCATCACAGGAGCACGCGATTCGATGCTCAACCGAATCGGACAAACCGAAAAAGGAATCCGACACCACAATCGAGACCAGGAAGATAAAATCGGGCAAAATCAACGGGATTCGCGGATGGGGCCAAAGCAAAACCAAATCAGAAATCACAAGTAAGACGGCACCTACGGAGGGTCTCACCGATCTGAAGCGTGCGCCGGGAGAGAAGACGAGAAGAGCAATCGGGGCGATTCTAAGATCTGCGAGGCGGCATCAGAGAAACAACAACAACAACAACAAACTCTTATCTTCCTCTTCCTCTCTCTTTTTCCTTTCGATCGACAAACATACAAACAAAAATTAAAAAAAAAATAATAATAATAATAAAAAAGGGAATCTCTTTCAGCTTCAAGCGCTTCCTCTACCTTCCTCCGATTCCGCCCGCCTCGGCAAGCAAATGGAAGGAGCGAAGACGAACGAACGTGGCCTTTCCTACATCAAAAACATATCCATTAATCTATCCTATCAGCCTCCTATGCGAAGAAAGAGGGAGGATGGAGGGATGCATAAATAGGCGAGAGAAAGGGGTGTGTGGGTGGGGAGATCTCCCTCGGCTGTCGTGTGGTGCGGTAAGGTAAGAAATGGCGAGGAAAGCTGGTGAGACCCCATCGCCGCTGCGTTGGATTTCGAATGGTTTACGCTCGAATTAGTAAGCGAAAGCGTTGTCATGTTCGGTTCGCGAGCCCGCGCCGAACCGATCCCAACCCCGCGCAAACCCAACCGCCGGTGCGCGCCACATATTTGCAGGTATTCCCAATTGGGCCTTTTTTCCTACAAAAAGACCCCAAAAATATATAATATTATCTCATTCAATTAATATTATTTATTTATTTATTTATTGCCCTTTTTGAAATCAAAATATGAGATTTCCATTTCCATTTCCATTGTAGATGTAACTATGGATGAATGATTAATGGTGTGAAGGAAAATTTCCATTGGCAATTGACTCAAATAGTTTTGGCAGACATTTGTGGAAGGAAACTACTACTACTTGTTGGTTTGTTCTTAATATAAACTTGCTTGAGGATTTTATGGATTTGTTGTCACACATGCTATGTTTATTCTTAGTAATAATTGAAATATATTCTTATATGTATTGTATGGTAGGAAGATCAACTTGTGTTCTTAGCAACATTTAATTTTTTTAAAAGAAAATTCTATTATTCTTACTTTAATTTTAAATAGAAAGGTTTTCACATATTAGTCTTTTCAAAGACATGAAATAGTTTGTTTGATGTGATCATCCATATCTTTTGTACCATCAATCCTTCATAATAATCAATAAAGTGTGTAAATTGTATATATATTTTTAAAATATCTAAAATCCTCAAAAACTCATCCTTACAAATATAAATATTATATATAAATAATTATTACATCAACATCAAAATAATAGTGTCAAAAAAGAATATCTTGGTTTCAATAGTTAACTATGTTGAGAACACTATAAAAGGTTAATAAGATAATTCTTATGATTTTTTTTTTGTTACATACAATATTAATAAACATATAAGATAATTTTTAAAATAAAAAAATATTCTCGAAGATAGCATGTGATTTTAGATAATTCTTAAATCACTCTTTATAGGAATATACATATAATTTTATTTATTGAGTTCAACATATTATTTCTTAAAATATAAAATAAATATGACAATCTACCTTATAGTCATTGATTCGAGAGGAGAAGAGGAAAAAGGAAGAAGGTTAAATAGGGTATACCAATATAATCGATTTAACTTAGAAAATAGATTGAACCATACTACTATGCAAATCGAACGCGAATATGAATTGTTTTATTGAAAGGGAAAAATAGTATTTAGGATATTCGAGAAAAATAGGAGCACTAAATTGGAAATTGAAAAAGGGGGCATCATCTCTAAAAAGAGAATTTTTTTTAATGAAAATCAGTCATTTTATTTCATATATTTATAATATTTTTTATTTTATTAATATATTTAGTAAATTCAAATTATCTATATATACTTTGAAAGTTTAGAAACCACATGTTGGTCCCAATATTTATAAATATACACACATATACAATAGATATATGTTCAATAGGAATTCTCTTTTACTATAAAAAATATAGTTCATCTCAAACATCACATCATCCACCAATTAGGTTACTTTAAAGATTTTTTGTATAAAAATAAATTTTAATTACATTAAATAAGATACAGAATGCTCAAATATTGATTTATATTATAGAATTATCATTCGGGCAAAAATACATTAACTAATCGATCGATCGGATGTCTCAACGCTCAAGATTTAAAAAAATAAATTTTAATTATATTAAATAAGATAAATAATTTTTAAATATGAACTTAAATACATTATCGAATGTCTCGAAAGTGAAAAAAAAAAAAAGGATTAATGTGTAGATAGTTATATATGCGAAGTTATGTGTATTAGTCACATGTAAACACACCATACTCCTTATAGATTTCACATTAAATAAAATAATAATAAAAAAATTGTGACAATATATCAAATTATAGGAATCTAAATAGTGCTCCATCTCTCTATCCAAAATAGGTTTTTCCAATACCATAACTTTCCTAATGAATCCAATCCAAATCGAACTCATCATCTATTTCAATATAAATTCTCATATTAGTAATAATTATTATTTTAAATCAAATATGCTTAATTAAATATGAATCACCAACAAAGCCCGAATTCAATCATGAATTAAATGGTTTTTACCATTTAAACTATATATATATATATATATATATATATATATTAAAGTCTATTGAAATTATATTTAAATTGCTCTCCAATACACCCATCTCTCGTCGCCCATTTCTTCCCATAGGAGAGACAGAAGGGAGAGAGCTTTGGCTCAGTTCGAGAACCTCTCTCCTAGAACGACTCGGTTTCTGGACTCGCGCCGCGTTCTACCTGTAATCTCTCTTATTTCATCTCTGATTTGGCTCTTTTCTTCTATGGGATTCTTGATTGACGCCGTCGGAGATTCTGCAGTCCTTTCTTTTTGCAATTACGATTCAAAGGTGCGGTTTTTCTTGTAGTGAGCATAGGAAGGAAAGAAAGTATCGGGAAGGAAATAAAAACGTTAACTTTATTTTTCCTTTTTGGTGGGATTGATTGGCAATCAAAGAATTTATAAGGACTTGTTTGCGTTGCGCTCGAATCAGTCTCTTTGGTGGTCTATCGTTGGTTGCATTCACGCGGATGAAATTTCGAAGCACATCCTTTGGATTTCTTTGTTACTGGTTATTTTTCTCGTCTGTTTGATTTTTTTCTTTTGGCAGAAGTTGAAGTTAATAGCTCATTTTCGTAGTAAGTTTATCTTGCGAAGATTGGAGTTTGAAATGCGTCCGAGCAGAAGTTATCTCTTTTTCTAAGATTTTGTTGAACTTTAATGCTGATAAAGGAACCATCTTTGTTTGTTAGATTCCACAAGGTAGTAAATTTAAGCGCAGAATTCTTGAAGATTACACAGAGGAGGAAGGATTGGTGGGCTGTTCGGTCGTTGGAAGGATAACATGGAAGAGCGTGAACATGCTCCTTGGAGATTTAGCTGTTTCGAATTCTTGACTCATCTCCTTGAAAGTAAGGTAAGTTTCATGTAATTCCTTCAGAATAACTTCTTTGGGAGTGAGAAAAGAATGACTTTTTTGCTCTCTTGCTCATGTCTTCTTCTCATGAAAAATTACACTGCCTGTTTCACACAAAAAATTGTTTTTATGAACTTCTTCGACTAATTGAAAACTATGTAAATAAACCATTTGGCTGCAAAAAAAAGTCATAATTAGGTATCTGAACTATGATTTCTTTACCGGTAAAACTTCAAGATGCACACGGTGGCCTAATCTTTATCTATTTGCATTTTCTTGACATTCTATGTCCTCAGGGGCCTATTATGAAAAAGATAATTTGATTAACTTATGCATAGGGATTTTCCAGGGTTATATGCTTCATCTATAAAAATCTATAATTTAATGTGATAAGTATGACGAAAAAGATAGATCATGGGCTTAAAGTGAGCTTAGTAAATAATATTTTTATATACCAACACCATACATCATCGCAAAGCATCATCAAGGTTATGTGAATTTGGATAGATTGCATAGTCGATAATTTGGTGCCTCCCTTTCTCCTTTCCCTTGCATCCTCTATTCTACTTGTCCTCCTTACCATCTATCTCCACTTCTCGTCTCGTCGTTGTTGGTCTGTGACTCTGAAACTTAAAGGAGCATGAAGCCTAGAAATCATGTGGGTTTGACCAGTTTGGCTAATTCTGCAGTCGGGATTGCTTGGTTCTGAGAAATCGGGCTTATCATTATCGATCTGGCCAATCTTGACATGGAAATTTTTGGTCCTAGGTTAGATTATCTAATCTGGAAACTGAATACTGACTTGTAAATTCAAGTCAGGCTTTCTTGTTAAGCAATCAATAAAATTCTAATCAATCTCAACTATTGCTAAAAATAGCACTCGCAAATTGAGTTCTACGCATATGTTTGTTTGCCATGAGTTTATGTTCCTAGATTCTGAGTTCTGGTGAAATGTGTTGTTTTTTATAAGATTAGTTGAATTCGATCATGCAGGTTGCGTATGTTTGACCCAAATCATGGGGTTTAGGTTGGAAGCAGGAAGTTAGGAGTGACTGGCTTAATTGTGTTGGACCAATGTAACTCAACTTCTTGTATGTTATTTAACTGATACCAAATTCTGATAGATGCATTGGTAAAATTCTACAGAATTGACTTTGGTCTTTCCTCAGTTGAAAGTAATGTCCTTGGATCTGAACAATGTTTAATAGTTTCGAGCATTGAGCTCTCTTGGTCTCCTACTTTTAGCCAAATCCAGCTTTATGATCAAACAAAAACCTCACTACATATCTTGATCAGCGTGGTAGCAGTTTAATTATTCAGGCTCTTACTAATCAATATGACTAACTAGAATCTATTATCCAATAACAATACGAAAATTCTCCACCACTGTACAGTCACTGTGAGAGTGAACATGTTCATTTTGAAGATGTGCTCAACCAATTTCTCATCTGGAGCTCATTTACTGGCTTATGTTTTAATAGTGTTTCTTTTTTAAGAGACTTTTCTTTGTTACATTGTGCTTTTTGACTAGGAAATATTAGAAATTAGTGCAACATTTCTTGATATCACTCCCAATTTTCAGTAACATCACCTCTGGTTGAAGTTACTACTTTTCTTGTTTGAACAAATTGATGTGAAGATTATCTGCCTAGTATTAATCAAGGGAGAGATTATACTGATGGCCAATTTGTTTGGTAAATTAATCTGTAACTTACATATGTATTTTATGCAGCGTCATCCACGATTCCGGCAGATTGAACATATTTCTCCTTCAGATGAGCAGGGGACTACCACTCTAGCTTCTACATCATCGGTGCAAACCGATACCAGAAATGATACAGATCTTTCTTCTCCAAGGCCATTGTCACATACCGATCCTGGATGCTCTCACTCACAGTGCCAAAATGATGGATTTGTGTTACGGCGTGCCAGGGGTCCGATACCTCTTCATGAAAAATCCCAATTACTCAGATATGATTTTCATATGAACACAGAATTAATGGAGAATTTAAATGAATCCAAGTATGAAGGAGGATCCATGATGTCATCTCCGGAGAGTTCATCGAAGCAGCCATTATCAGAAATGACAACTGGAATAACATATCTGCATTCAGAATCTGAGGATGAAGATGTGTGTCCAATATGCCTTGAGGGTACGTTGAATGGAAATGTATAGATATATTAATGACTGTTTAGCTATTTTGTCATGAGTTCTTGAGATCTTCTATTTCTTATCGATAAGGCCCTACGAATTTATATTGCTTAGGACCAGCTGGTCACATAAATTTTGCATATATTAGTGCTGCAAATTGGAAGTTGATCATAGGTACAATTAGATTATATTTTCATAGACAAATTTGGATTTGCAATTGAGCAAGAACAATCAAGTTCTTGCAGGAAGTAAGATATTATAATCTTCATCCTTATCATTCTCTACTTGTACAGGTGAGGCTACATGCATTGTTCCTTCCCATACCTTGCATTAGCAGTAGCTTCGCACACTGGACTGTCTTTTTTAGTCTACTTGTACATGGCCAGCTTCTTTTTTCACTTTTGAGCTTCAACTGATTATATTCTCCTTGTATAGTATTGCTTAATTCAACAGATTTATGATGATTATATTGTAAGGTTCAGCAGATTGTGTTAAAAGGAAAGAAAACAATCATGAGTTTCATTTTCAGCCATCGAACTGTCCAAATACCAAAATTGACAAATTATTAGGCTTCACTTGGATTTCACTTCTTGTTGTGCTTGGTTTAAATTTTTTTTTGCAGAGTACACATATGAAAAATCCAAGAATTACTTTGAAGTGCACTCACATTTACCACCAAAACTGACAAATTATTAGGCTCCACCCGGATTTCACTTCTTGTTGTCCTTGTTTTATTTTTTTTTTTTGCAGAGTACACATATGAAAATCCAAGGATTCCTTTGAAGTGCACTCACATTTACCACCTTAGCTGTATATATGAATGGTTGGAGAGAAGTGAATCCTGTCCAATCTGCAGCAAGGTAACTACCTTCTTCCAAGTGCTACTGTAATTATTGTTTATTTCAACTAAGTTTGTTCATCTAGTCCATCTCAATTGTCTATCTCTATCTTATAAATTCAGTTTCTAATTTCAATTAGTATATAGCATAGTGGTTTTAGGTAGATTTGGCAGAATTAAGTAGGAAAAAGAAGTGCAGAATACAGCTTAGCTTGTGATTGTATACTAGAACCTTTCTAAGTTCTCACATACCAGAGGAGTCATTGCCTGCAGACTAGTAGCTATAGGCTTTTGTAATGGCGGAAGGGCATTACAGCTCAGCTACTTTGCTAGCACTAGAATTATAACTTCAACTAACTGGCCTGGCATGTCTCATTCATCAATTCTTCCTGGTATCTCCTTTAAGAAATCAAGAAGACTTTTCAATGGCATCACTGATGTCATTCAGTGACATACAAACTATGGTCATTATAAAGTAGAACACAATTGATGCAGATTATAGCACCTTTTTATTTCTCATAACAATTATGGACATGGCACTATTTAGGGAGAAGAAAAGAATGATTACGAAATGATTTCGTTCATGGAACTTATACATTTAGAACAGTTCAAGAATGATACATTAACAGTGATTTTTGACACATGTCCAACCTCCAAATATGAATCAAGGTGTGGCAATTCAGATTACAGGTTTGAGAGGAGAGAAGGGTGATGCTGATCTGTAAGATGCTGGTGTCGAGACATTTGAGGTCAAACAACTTATTACAACTACAAAAGTTCAAAAATGATTGAAGAAATAAAACAAGGACTCATTATAAAGTATGTTAACTGCTCAGTGATGCTTTTTAATTCCGAGTGGTGGGCGTCTCGGAAATGAGAATATAGAGAATGTTTGGATATTTATGAACAATTAGATATTATAGATGAAGATTAAATAAAGAAAAATCACTGAAGATATGGTATCTTCTGTGTCCCAAGAAGATTTATAAATCTTATAGTTAGAAACAGTGATTGAAAGAGGCGCTCGGGCGCTCGCCTAGGCGCTCAGGCGGGGCGAGGCGAGGCCCGAGCGCCTCGCTAATGTCTCAGGCGGCGCGCTTCAAACAGGCGCCGCCTGGGCGCTCGCCCGAGCCCAGGTGCTGGGCGCTTCGGGCGAGCGCCTGGGTAAACCAAGTGACCGAATCAGGATTTTAGGTCTGGTTCGGTTGTTAGTTGGTTCAATCGAACCAACTAAACCGATATAACCCTTACCCAACCCTAACCCGCTGCCGCTGTCGCTTCCGATCTCGTTGCTCGTCGCTCCTGCTCCCGCTGCCGCTGCTTGTCGCTGTCGCTGCTCGCGCCTCCCGTTGCTCGCGCCTCCCGTGAGCCCTCCAGCTGCTCGCGCCTCCCGCGAGCCCTCCCGCGAGCCTTCCCGCTGCTCGTGACTCCTGCGAGCCCTCTCGCTGCTCGCGACTCCCGCGAGCCCTCCCGCTGCTCGCGCCTCCCGCTCCCTTTCCCTTTCCCGCTGCCGTTGCTTCCTCGTTTCTCCGTCAGGCTCAGTATACAGTATACTCTTAATATTAAGTTTATTTGAATTTTGAAATGATTAATTTTCAATACTGTTAATAGATTAATAATATATTATTTTGATTTTAATATTGTTAATTTTTATCTTGATGTAAAATTTTATTGTTTTGAATTTTGAAACTTTTTGTTAATGTGACATTGTGATTTTGTATCTTAGATTTTCTTAATTTAATAGCATATTTTTATTTAAAATTTTAAATAATTATATTTATTAATTATATTATATATTTTTATATTTTAGCACCTCGCTTCGCTCGGGCGAGCGCCTGAGCGAGCGCCTAGTGCCTCGGGCGTTTTTGGACCTTGGCGCCTTTTGGCGCCTAGCGCTTTTTAAATAACTGGTTAGAAAATGTGAAACAATTAGTATCATCTCAATTAGTTAGGACAATGTGACCTGTTATTGTTGTTGTGACAGATAGAGTAACATCTGACAGTGTAGCTGAAATCTATATTGGACACGCCTTATTCTAATTTCTGTTCTTTTCTTTGGCTTTTTGTAGATGGTGCAATTTAACGAAGAAACGTGAATCCCGATTCCCTCAATGGAAGCTGCAACGTTCACGTAGATGTGATCAACGTTTAAATGAAAGATCAAAGATAGACAACACTTCGTCTCATTTTAATTTTGTTGTTTCTTTCTTCTGAGAAAGAAAAAGTGGATTTAACGTGCTTTTATTCCGTCAACATGAGATTAAAATGCTTGTTTTATTTTGTATTTTTTTTCAAGTTACTTAATTCAGAAAGGAAAATTGGGCCTTAGACATGCTTGCATGGATAATTTGCAGTATTAATGTTGAATCTTAAGACTTATATCAGTCTATTACTCAATATATAGTTTCGTATAAACAATTTTCTTCCAAGGCCCAAATTCTTCTCTATTAGAAAAAATAAATAAAAAATTCCTTCTTTCATTGTCAAATATAGGGAAATACGTTATTTTAAGCTCATGTTGATCCATCCTGGATCACCAATAGTTTCTGTAACTCATGATCAGCCTATCTGGATCATCGTGAGTAATGACACCTTTTATTGTATTAAATATGATTTGAAATCTTGATACTTCGGTAGACAAGAAGAAGAAGAGGAACAAAAGATAGAAAGGAATTTGATTTTAGATGTTAATCGGATAAAATTCTCTGATTCAAGATCAGGCCGATTGGTGCATACTGATGCGATCGCTATTTAGAACAATGATAATAAATATTATAAATGATATTTAACTGACCATGTTGCAATAATTAATTATGTATATTATAAACGGAGCCGAGATTATTAGTTTGCTTGTATTTCGTTTCTGATTTCATCAGTTTCAAGAATTGACTTCTTAATGAATAAAAAAAGCAACAATCAAACTGAACAGTTCATACCTCACAAGTCTTTCTTGATCTTGTCTGATTCAAATCTGCACATACTGTAACATCTTTTCTCATTAACTGCACCAACACGTATTGTATTGTGCTAAAGCACCATGTCCGTCGCTTGTGAATCTACCATCACCTGTCTGACATCGGATACAACACTTCACTTTGAACTTTTTCCGGTAATAAATATTTTTGCTAATTAGCAAGTCATAGAATGTAAAATAATAACAATAAATAATGAAACTGTAGCCTAAATTGCCATTGCAAATATGGCAGCTGCAAATATCCCAACCTTTGCCTTTTACACAAGAATGCCATGGAGCCTAGCATCCCTGATATATGGCGACATCAAAGGCATGCATCATCTTATTATTACATAAATGATGCTTATTGGCTACTTCTGCATACACGAGAAAACAACATCAAGGCTGATGTTACTCAACTCTGCTAAATACTTGATGTGATTAGAAGACAAACACAAACATTTTAAGTGAAGCCCATGTCAGGCTGTTTATGGTGGCCATATATATTCCTGTACATCTGCAAGAGTGAGAGCACGGGAGTTGGATGCACGAGACACACTTATATGATTGCATAACCATCTTGTCCTAGGATTCTCTGATTGATAATGTACGACTAGGACACCTAAGAATAATATATACTGACCATATTCAGGTGCATGCTTGTGGAAGAAGTAGCCTAACACCATCGTCGGACCATTCACAACTTACAGCTTCAGGTTGCACATGGAAGTTAACCATTCGGATGGCCAAGCATCCATTGGCGGCAACAAGCTGCTGGTGTTTCGTACCTGGGTTTGTGCTGCTGCTTCGCTATCCACTGATCCCCTTCCGCGGAAAGTTCTGCATCATGGATGTAGTGATCGGTGACAAAAAGTCTCAGAGCAATTAAGAAAGACAAATCCGTGCCTTCAGGAGGTACCCGATGCTTAGAATAGGGTTGGATTCAGCTATCAATCCAGCTATCGGAAATGAGGACGGTGAAGAGGAGCTTGATGGGAGCTGGTTTTGCTGTTGCCTCTGTGCTTGGTGGGACGGAGCCATGAGCTTCTGCTTCTCCATCAGCTGCTTCAGACGATAATATAGATGAATGCATTATCACTTGGAAATTTTATTCACACGGAAGAGATGATAACAGTAGCTGACCTCCTCCTCCAATATCTTGTTTTGCTCCCGCAGTGACTTCTCCTGTGCACAAGAACGTGTCAGTAGGGAAAAAACAAAAAAAACCATGGATCATGCACAAGCCCAAACGATAGAGTAGAAATAACAAACAACCATCTCAAATAGCCGTTCATAGGCAACCATTTTTCTATATTTTTGTAACTTTCCAAAAAATATATATATATATATCTTCATCACTTGATACTTTGCTCTTTACCTTTGGAATGACTTGTTACTAGCATTATTTGTAATTATAGGGGTAAGCTATCTGGCTCCATGTCAATTTCTCCCAAGTTGTTACAATGATGTGAAAGTTAATCCTTTGTGTAGCATTCCCTATTTGGCTTAAGATAGATCTCTTTTTGGTTTGACAAGCACTTGCTACAGTTGATTTGTTACGACATAGTTTTCCTCTAGGATAAGGAATAAGAATGATTTTTTAAAATTGAACGAAAATGACTTTAGCATAATAACATGAAACTGCATGTCACTGTGAAAGGAATTTATTGATTTTGTGCTGTTTCAGCCCTTGCTTCCAAAGATAGGATGGAAGAAACCGTAAAGGTGTTCAACATAAAAGTTGAGTACCATAAAGGTATTTAACCTTCATATGATGTTATGTATTCCGCACAGAATGAAAATTTTTCATTGCATGCGGCTGATGGTTCCAAAATCATAATACAGTTCATTCCAAAAAGTTGTTAACATGTTGCTTTTCATCAAAAAGCAGTGAACATCTTTTATAAGCTAACACAAAATCTGACATATGATGATCGTGCTAATGAAAATTCAAGCATGGATACTGTTGCTGATCACCGCTGAACTTTTTGTAATATATGGTTGGAGAAACTAAATGTACTAAATGCTTTTTAAAGATACCTAATGCATCATCAACAGATACAATGCAGCAATAATAAGTTCCATTCACACTCTCTTAGAACTTTCGGAGATTACCTTTCTTTGGAGCTCAGCTACAAAGTCGAGCATTATTTGTGTCTGCACAAGGAAGAAGCTCCGTGAGCAACTGTGAGCATCGTGCATCGTCCCTGCAGAAAATATTGCTTGCTTATTCTGTTTTGAATAATGAGCTTTATTACCTTTCTTGATCTAATTTGCTTCATAGAAGTTTCAAGCTGATGTTCTAATTGTTGGAGTTCTTTGACGGTCAATGAGTCAAGTTGTTCTCCCATGAGATGCCTGAAATCAGGATATCAGCCTGTCCTCGTGCATTCAACTCAAAGACTGAGCAAAGTTTGTTACCTTTGGCTTCTATGCAAAACCTCAAACTTAGCCTTAAGTTTGGCATATTCTCTGTACCAGTTGCCCTACGTACCATTAAGCAAAAGATCAGTCACAGATTTCGTTATCGCAATGAATATTTAGCAGCATGGACAAATACATATTTTGTTTACATTATATATAACTGAAACCAAATGTCAGTTTTGTGTTACACATATTTCAAAAACAGTAACCACCTTATTCCTGCCTCAATAATATCATTTGAAAAATCTGCAAAAGAGCTTGACCTTCATTTCATTAGCAATCAATGTTCGTTGATCATTCGATAAGATGAGGATAAATCCTTAACCAACTACCTCATAAGATTCAACAATAACAAACCCAAATTTATCCATGTTGACCCACGCTTTCATCAATAACCTTAAATCATCTAGATTTCTTTAGTCGATCTTGAAGAAATCTCCTTGCACTATTATAGAAAGCAAATAAATATATATTGTTGAGACTCTCCTATCGAGAAAGAAAGACATGGACGTAAAGCAACATCCAAAGGAGAATAAGCATTACCAACCTCAACCACCATCTCGTGGAGGAAGATTCTCTAAGAAACCTACACCCAAGAATGGATTTTACTCTCTTTCAACACCTTTGAGACAAAGATCTTCCTTCAGATCAAAGAAAGAAAACTTCAAAAAGAACCTAGTTGAAGTCCATGCCAATAAGATAATATAAATATAAATTAAAGAACATAATAATACTTTGAAAAGTATATTCAAAAGCAACACTATCCTTCTTTCCAATCTTAGAATCCCATTAAAATATAAATCGATATAATCATCTATAGACCAACCTTGAGAGGGATAATTCTTCTACCAAAAAGGCATATACTCGAGGTAACATTGAAAAAAAGACATCAACTCAACAAGGTCCATAAAAATACTTTAAAATAGGAGGTCAAATACCTTGACCTAATGTCTTAGTCATGTCGATATAAATCCTAAACATTTTGTTGAAAAGGATAATGATTGATACAGATAACTTGGCTTACATCATTTATCTTATTATATTTCGTAAGACGAGCTTGATTGACAACTATGTTAATCCAATGATAAATTTTGATATGGTTCACTTGTAATGCTATCTCTTACTCGGGATGATGGATCTATATGCCACATTCGGAATTATATTTTTTATTGTGGTCAATATCCTTTTGGATTATAACATAACATTGAATAGATATTAGGTTTAGGTTTCAAACTATCACATGTCCCTAAAAAGATCCCAAAGGTCATAGAATCGAGAACTAAAAAACAATCCATGTGGCTGGATGTCAGTCTCATTATCGAAGAAGCCAACACCAGCTACCAATAGCTTGATCCTCGAGATGAGACCAAAACCTTTCCCCTCTCATCCCAAGTCGAAAAATCACCAACATAAGTATCATCTAATCAACCCCTCCCCTGACTAAGACTATCAAAATAGGTTCCACACTTCATGATTAACAAAAATATTTAAAGTACCTAATATGCCTCTTGCACATGATACATTTTCTCAGGAGAAAAGAGCAACTAAGACGCTTCATGCAACTAAAGCATCCTATTGTATTATGTGTTCGCTTATGACAAAAGACGTTCACAGCACCCAACGCAACCCACAGCTTGCTTCTTATATGCAATGCATTCTCAAGGATAAAAAAAAAATCATCTGAGGTATCACTTTATCATTTTTGAAATAAGCAATAATGATTAAGGTCTCCAGATGAACTTTATGTTCTCATACAGACAAAGCCTTACTCCAAGCACAATGGGGAATGATATGATTATTATTTTTTATCAGCACTCAAACACATGGAGCTAGACTCAAGTGTCTTTTATATATTGACAAACGATTGCATACTTTAGGTATAGC